TTATATTCAATTACTTTTGGGCGCATGAGATTCTTAGAACATTCTCCAATGTTAGCGCTTATCTCGATGCAATTCTGGTTTCATATTCAAATTATCAAGTGAATTTTCACTCGATTCTAAAACCCGACTTCGATCTTGTGTGCCGCCGTCTTCGACCGGATCAAATCGTTTCATTGATACTATCGGATTCTGATGAGACTCCAAGACAGTCTGAACTTTTTTTATCTCTCTTCCGAATTGAATCGTTTACTCGGATTCAATCACTTACATTGTACAAGATTCAACCAAAATCATTGAAAGTCATCCTTGATAATGTGAATAAAATCAATCGATATTATCGTCTTTCATTCCACAATTGCAATATCAGATCCATGGTTTCTATTCAAGTGCCATCTCAATTAAGAAGTTTAATAATACGTGAAGAGATTTCATCGCTTCGACTTAGACAGTCTGATTATTCCAGCTTGGATACTGAAATATCTTCTATTGATGCTTTCAAATATATTTATCGAACTGCCTCACAACTTCAATCACTCAATATTCACTGGAGTTGCCAAAACACTGATTTCGCTGTATTTTTATCATCGCCTCAACTCACTTCTCTGGTTCTCCAAGTTTCAAGTGAGTATATTTCAATATATGAATATAGAATGAGATAAACATAAGGTATCTTCATAAATGCTTATTAATTCCTACAATTCTTATCAACTGGTAATGAATGTTTCGTTAAAGCCTTTTTAAGCTCTAGAGCAACCTTCATTTGAGGCTTTCTCTATCAAAACTGACGCAGATTTTTATGACAAATATTTTGGTAATGAAATGATGTTCTAGAACATCAGGGTGGGGGTATGGGGTGCGGGTGTGGATGTGGGTATGTGGGTGTGGGTTCGTCTGGGTGTCGATCAAGATGAGGTCAATCAACACCCACCTTCACACCCACCTACACCCACACCCACACCCTCAAGTGAGAGCTCTCACTTTATTCTGAATTTACTTTCGATATACTGATCTCAGCTGTGAAAACATCAATCCATCTACTATTTGATGACACTTTTTTCTCCGCAGAAGTCATGGATGACAACTATTTCAACCAGTTGCGTTTATTTTCTTGCATTTCTGATAAGTATACTATCTCAAACTATTCGAGTTTCGACGGATTCTGCACAACTCTGAGTTCATCTTCCTTTTAGTAGAGCTGGCGAAGAAAAAGAAAAATAGATGACTTTGTAGAGTGTATTTCGCTCCATTTCTTTAAAATATGTTGTAGTCTTGTACACAAGAACCCATCTAAGAGAGGATCGTCGTATTTCTTGATAGTTATTACAGAAGTAAACGGATATGAAGCTTTTCTCATAAAAATTCCGTTAAGTATAGTCGTGAAACTCGAGGTGGATACAATATAGACGACTGAAAAACAGAAATTGCAGTTTTCTACAGGCAAGCTTTTACAGACGCTAATGAACGAGGAAGTAATCTATTCGTAGAGTAAGTCAAGTTTGATGGACTTGCAAATTCACCTTCGTAGAAGGAAAATGTGCCCATGTAAGAACGTTATGTTTTTAGATTATTCAGTAAATATGAATGATATGGATCGTCTGTTATTAAATCTGCCTCGTCTGAAACATTTCGAACTACATGTTAATAACAATTCTATCGATTTGGTCAATGGACAACGATGGGAAAATATCATCGGCTCACTTATCACTTTTAGCTTCATTTTTCGCGTGAGACTAGTTGAAATTGAAAAAACTCTAGCTACTTTTCAAAGTCGGTTCTGGCTTCAAAAGCGCTGGTATGTGGCCTATGAAAAAGATTTGTTGTTTTCTGTACCTCGCTTCGCGAGTACCTATTGCTGCAATACTTTTCGGCGGCCTATTTATTCGACAATGCTTGACAGTAAGATTTATCTAAAGAATATAACTTCACTCACAGTATCTGAAGCATTGCTCGACATTGATCATTATTTTCCTCATGTTCGATCGTTGCAACTCGAAAACCTTGTTGACCTTAAGACTCTCTCATCTATCATCGATATTAACCGAATAGAGAGTTTGAGTCTATGTTCTCCCACCAGTCAGTCATTGCTAAATATTCTTCATCTATTGAACTTACCTCGTCTTCACGAATTATTCATAACGGGTGATCAAGTAGAACTTATTCAAAAACTGAAAGGTATGCAGTTCAAACAGATCAGAACGCTTTCAATACATACTGACTTCTTAACTGATAAAGCATATCCAGTTCAAGAGTTATGTTCCATTTTCCCTGTTGTTGAACGTTTATCTGTAGAATACATAAGTCAAGGAACTATGATTCGTATGATTGATATGTTTACGCATCTATCAAATGCATCATTCATTTTGGAATCCTGTTCCAAAAGAAACCAAGAAGATTGGCTAGTGAAACCAGAATGGGCAGTTTATGGAACACGACGACTAATCAATAATCAATATACTTGCCGACATGAACGTCAGTTCGCTTTCTCAATTCTTAATGTATGGATCAGCGAACAGGTCAGTTTATTAGAAGGAAAAACATATTTTTACTATTTTATCAATATAATTATTTAGCTGTCGACCCCTTCTATAATATGGTGTTGGCTACAAAAGAGAGATTATTGGTGGTATCGATTAAAACCGATTCTGACTGCATGTAATGTGCTACCCGTCAATGATCTTCTTGATTTCAGTGTTCTTTTATTGTGGCTTGGCACTTTTCTGCTGCTGTGCTTCTGCACCGAATTACACACGCTACCTTTTATGCAAAATAATTTATTTTTAATGTGCGCCATGCCAGTTTTAGCTATAGCTGTATACCATTATTTGAAGATCAAAAAGCTAAGCAGGCACTCAATCATCCTTATTTGTTTAATGATGCTAGGTATTTGGGATGTGACACAGTATTTTATTAGTGACACATACAATGGGCTGCTGTACTATCAAGCAGGTCGCTTCTTTTGTGAACAAAAATCACAAGCATGTGATGGTCCGCTCTACATGATTCCAATAAATCGAGAAACACACCACTTTATACATGATCTCATAAAGGACACAATCATCTGCGACCCACATTCCTTTTTCTTTTCTTCTTTTCTCGGATTAATAATACTTCCTTTAACGATTCTTTGTTTCATGTTCCAAGGATTTGTTAATCTGTACCTTTCATCAAACAAAATTCTGTTCTCATCTCTGTACAAATTCTTGACTAATATTGTTCAAGGACTGTTTTCCTTCTTTGCTCAATAATTTACGACATACTGTTCACTGTAAGGCATACATGTATTTCGAGCATAATATATACTAAAAAGTAAAACAATTCAATGATGATCATGTGTGCGTATGAGTGTGGGTGCGTATGGACTTCTAATGTAAGTATTAAGGGTGTGGATTCGTCTGGGTGTCGATCAAGATGAGATCAATCAACACCCACTCACACCTACACTTACACCCATACCCAACACCCCAATAAGCATCGAATCGAGCTCCAAAGCTATGCATTCGACAGAGCTCGTTGAGATCTACTCGGAAAGTTGAATCATTTCGTTGGAAAGTGCGTCTGAGCGAATCACTACAGGTATTATATGAAAAACTGAGTTTCTATTGCGGATTTAAGGTTTTGAAGGGAGATGATTATGGAATTGAGCACCAAAGATGTGCATTCAATATAGCGCGTCGAGATCTACCTGTAAACTCAATGATTAAGTTGGAAAGCACTCCTGGACGAATTGTGAGAAGTTTTTCGAGAATTGATTGCATTTTACATGTTTTTTTGATGGTTTTTGGGGATTTTCTCTGTTTGAGGAGGGGGGGGGGGCTAGAGAAAAATAAATGATATGGTTGAATAGAGCTCGTCGAGTTCTACTCGGAAAGTTTTTTGGAGCGAATCCTTTCAGGAAATACTCGAATCCTGACCTAAGATATCCTACGTACTACAAGCTATCATAATATTACGTTGTTTATTAACAACTATCATTGCATAGAATAAAAAAACTAAAAAAATTGTTCGTTATGAAATTTTACTTTTTGTCACATTTCAAAGTCGAAGGTTTCAGAATCTAAAAATTATAGTGATAAAAATATATCTTTTTCCTCATTTACGAGTAATACAAAGATAGTTTTATTCTCACAACGAATGCACATTGGAATTGGTGAACACCTTTCAAGCAAAAAATACAATTTAACAAGATTTGTAAATCATACAAATTTATTTTATATACATGATTAAAGAATAATGGGAACTATATCCAGGGGCCGCGCGAAAGGTCTAAGATTGGGGGGGTGTAGCGGGTTTTGATAGGGTGTAAAAATTTTTGGGGGGGTGTAAAAGGGTATTTAGAGCAAAATTTCTTAAAAAAAACACAAAATTTGTTCCAAATCTGCTCCCGTCGCTCAAAAAAAAACAAAAATTTTCGATTATTGGGGGGGTGTACACTCCCCCACACCCCCCCGCTCGCGCGGCTCCTGACTATATCACTGATAACTAAGGTATTTCACAATTTGCAAGGGTGACTGTTAGTTGGCCATGTTCATTACTAAGCAAAAGTTAACTTCTTTTTCTATTTTAGTTTGTAAATCTAAATGTCTATATTCTGATATATTACTTACTCGCAATATTTTAAATTTTATTAAAAGTTCGTTCATAATAATTATGTGTATATGAGTTTTTTTGTATTATTTGCTTTACAATTCAATTTCAGCGCGTTTTATGTCTATTGCTTATAATCATATGAATAGTTGATTATCGACAAAGATCAGTTTTATAAAACCTTACAAGTTTAGATCGTTCAAAAACATTTGGTTCCTTTTCATTAAAAATTCTTAATAACTTATATCAAATATCTTTAGTCAAAAGAGTGAACCAACAAGTTCGGTGCATTTCGAAACACAGCGGACGAATAATCAATGATTCATTCAATATATATTCTATTTATGTAGGAAAGAAAAACAAAATCATCATATATATATATTCGAATTCTTTTTTTTTTGCTATGTCATTTAAACATGGATCATATGAAACGAACATTAAGTTTTAATCCATTATCTGAAGAAAATACAAAGAAATTACGAAGTAAAATTATTCTACTACGTAGTAACATGTAAACTTCTTTTTTTATTATAATATAGGTGAATTGTTGAATGAATTAAGAATATCTTCTATTGAAAATTTATCAAATGAATTATTCAATGAAATATTTGATTATCTTGATGGTATTGACATATATCTAGCATTTTCAAATCTTAATCATCGTTTTCAACAACTTCTTACATCTTCATCTATTCTATATAAAATTGAACTTATTCATATAAGTTCAAAAGAAATATTTATGCTTATTTATAAACAAATTAAACATCAAATATATTCGATTAATTTTCAAATACCAGTCCATATTAATCAATTATTAACATCGTTTATTATAGATTCTTCATTTAATCATCTTCAATCACTTATTATTGAAGATATTCAATCAGATAAACTTATTTCATTTCTTAATACTTTAAAATCTTTACCACGACTTTTCTCATTAGATATCCGAACAATGCATGTCATGAGAGATCTAAATAACATTTATCAATTAATTTTTGCATTACCAACATTAAAATATAACAAACTCGATTTATATGGAAATGAATGTTCAATTTCAATTCCAATGGCTACTACTGGAAAACCATTTAGTACTATTGAATATCTTCATATTGATCATTATTATACTTTCGATGAACTTTCTGCTTTAATTTCTTATACAGCAAAACTTCGTCATCTAAATCTTTCGTATATAAATCAAGATAATTCAGATATTGAAACTATGTTACCAATTAATTTAGAAAATTTGACATCGGTTTCGATGTATACAAATTATATTAATTTTGATGAATTTGAAATATTTATTCAGAATATATATTCGAAATTAAAAACTTTATATGTTATTTTTAAATATCAAGATATAACTTTTCTTGATGCTTATCGATGGGAACAATTAATTTTACGATATTTATCTCAATTGAAAAAATTTTCTTTAAAATATTATGAAAATAGATATTCAATAGATTCTGGAGAACGAACTCAATTCAATTCATCATTTTGGATTGAACGAAAATTAATATTTAATGTTGAAATTAATGAATATAATATTCTTTATTTAGTTTGTCCATACAGGTACATTGATGAAGATTCTTTTATATTCATATAGATTGTTTGTTGTTTTTTTTTCTCAGAAACAGATGGTATGAATATAAGAATTCTACTGTTGATTATTTAAAATCTACTCAATTGACTATTAATTACGTTTTTTCTGGTGAACCTGCTGATAATTTGTTCAAGTATATTAAACGTGTTTTAAATATAGTACAAATTTATCATTTGGATGTTCAACAACAAATTTCTATTGATAGATTAATGCAAATTATACATTTATTACCAGATCTTATTACATTAAAAATTCATTCTTTAACATTTTATCGATCATTCTTCAATGAAGAATTTCCTACAACGTATTCAATAGAACATGCAAGTAAAATTAAAAAAGTTTATATAGAGAAGACGAAAACAATTGAAGAAATTTATTTTCTTCTTAATATTTGTCCACATATAGAATTTCTTAATGTCGAATGTATTCATGATATGACTATTGAATTATTTCTACGAGATATTTTAAACAAAATTAATAAAGATCTTCGTTTATTATGTATTTATGTTTCAAAGGCAGATGATAATATGATCAAAAGATTAAGTACAATGATTGATAATGAAAAACTTTTATCAAATTACACAATTCATCATGAACTTGATAATATCTATTTGCAGTGGATATGATTTTTTATTTCGTTGACGTTTGGTTTTTTATTGTTAAAAATGTGTACAAGTTTTTTATTCGAAAATAAAAAAATGCACACACTCATATATAAAAACCTTTCTGGCATTGAAAACAGCAAGAAACAAGTAGAACGGGTGTGGGTGTGGGTGTGTGGGTGTGGGTGTGGGTGTGTGGGTGTGGGTGGGTGTGGGTGTGGGTGTGGGTGTGGGTGTCA